GCTAATTTTATGTAATCATAAACTTTATGTTCAGATATCTCGAGTTAACTTTTCAATAAGGAATAGTTTGACACTAAAATTAGAAATAGTATTTGTTTTTATAGGAGAAGCAAAATGACACTAACTTTTGCATATCTTTGTATTCAATTTTTATCTGCCTTAATATAAGATTCTGACGCTTGATGTAAAATATTATTCCAATCTATGAAAGTTGTACAAAAAGTTATAAGTTATTTTATTTATTACTGGTTTTGTTCAATTGGTTAATATAATATTATTAATTTAGAAAAAAAAAACTTTTTTAACTTCCCGTAGGCCAAAAATCGAAAATGAAAACTTTGGCATTACTCGGCGTTTTGAAGATTTTTGAACATTTTGGCATACCTAAAAAAATGGATGTATGTGTGTGTTTTTTTGTGTCCAAATTTTTTCGTTCCCGTTTTCGGGCGCACAGATCAACCGATTTCAATGGTTCAAAAAACATTCGATTCCTATTGATAGGGAGATGTGCTGATTAGTTTTTGGCAAAGGTAGATCCAGCCGTTACGGAGATAAATAGCAAAGAGTGCAGAAAATAGAAATCGAGTTTTTGAGAGAGCGGAGCATCGGATTTGAATGATCTAAAAAAACACTGAATTAGTAATGATTGGGAGAAATGGTTATTAGTTTTTGGCAAAGGCAGGCCCAGCCATTTCGAAGATACAGTGCTAAATATAGAAAAAATGGCAGTGTTTGAGAGAAATATGCATCCGAATTGAATGATACAAAAAACTTTCTGTTTGTGTTGACAAAACAATTGCTTTTGGATTTTTTTTGTATATTGAAAATAATTCAGATTTCAATTTTAATTCTGGCTAAAGTTTTAAAGCCCAGTTTATATAATTAGTTCATACTTTAAATAAATATCTTTGACTTTGTAATTCAGTTTATAAAATTCTTAAATAATAAAAAAAATATTAACAATGTTACAGTATTTATAATAATCTATTTGAAAACATTTAATATTCCTCGAACATTTCGTTATGGCACGGGAAATTCTATCAATTTGCTTTAAGGCACAATGCTATACACCACTAGTTCAAATATTTTCTAATATAGATAAAATATAGGAACTTCACAATTATCTATAAAAAAACTTTTTTTGAGACATTTTCATAAAGTATATTGTGTTAGTTATAATTTCGAAACGATTTTTTTTAACTTTAATTAATAGGCTCGAATATTAAAATAGAGTTGTTTTAAAAATACTTGTATTTTTATTAGGAACATAAAACAAAAAAGTGGCTCCAAATATGATTAAGGAATTCTTAACAAGTTTATATCAACAAAAAAATTCCTCCATTATAGTAAGGGCACACAAAAAATGTCAAGTTTAATGATTGGTTGTTCAATTGTGTCATATACCTTATTAATAATTAATGCCTATTATCGCTCATTATGCTAATAATGTTATTATTTTTTTATAAATTGTCTTCTCGTCATTCACAAATGTGTAGAGTCATTACTTTATCTAGGTAGACCCTATGCTCATTTACATATATGTAAAGACTAAACATGTCAGGTGAGAAAAAACAGTATTTCATTCTTTCATTACAATAGATAGAAAGGTCAGTCTTATTTAGGTATTCGATAGGGCCAGGCGCCAAAGTAATAACAGCAATAATTTAATCGATGTATGAAATAATATTTCATAAGATATTCGTGTTAAATATGCGTACATGGCATGTAAGTATTCTAATGAATGCTTCGGGCAAAAAGTATGTAGACATGCATCTTATCCTAAAATTTCCGAAACAATGACACCAAAATAATGACATCTTGAATGTTTTTTCACATATCATGCAATTTTAAGCATACCAGTATTATTAATTCATTTGAATATGCATCAACCTTAACATATGATAATGCTCTAACATTATTTTCAACGATAAATTTTTGTAGGCATGTAAATCAGTTTTTCATTTAATAAAAAAATCACAATTTAATATATATAATTTGTACTCTTTCTTATTAAGATGAAGCAACAATCAGTTATACATAGTAACTTTTATTTGATGTTAATAAATTTGGCATTGTGACATTTTATGACACAGGATGATTTATTCCTGATTAAAAGTTGTGCTTTCAAACAACCATATTGCCTGAATTGCACTTTAACAGGAAAAATGTGCTAAAAGTAATATAACACGTTAACTTTAACAAATGGTTATCTGACACGGAAGAATTTCACTACTGCTTGGTATCAAATACTGGTATCTAATTTGGAAATTGTGATTAGATATTAGTTTATTATTTGTCAGTGATAATACAGATACCAGACTCTATAAAATGCATTTGATATGGTTAATTCACTTTTTCTCTATACTGTATGTACAGGAGTATTATTGAAACTTTTTTTTTGATTTATTGGATTGAAACTTGACTAGTATTTTATTATTTGTTTTATTAATTTTTTTAAATTTATTTATTTTACTATTTCACGATATTACTGACGACTTATTGACGGAAAATAATAAATATATTGTTTGAAAAGTTGCGAATATTACCATACGACATTGATCTACAAATTATTGGAATTCTTTACAAATTTTTTCTTCACAATGGAGACATTGACAACGATCTTCAAATTTATTAAGACTACTTCATTACACTTTAATAAACATGCCGATGACTATTTATCGTCTTAAAATGGACTAACTAATAGATGACGTTAACTAATGGATGATGTTCAGATTGAGCTTTTCTCTACTCTACAAATTAAATTTTATTTAAAACTAAACCAAAGCTGACTAGAGTGAAAAGTCTTACAAAAAAGTAATAAAAATGTAGCCTTAAAAATGGCATATCGTAGGGTAATTTTTGTCACCATCATGTCTATTTTTAAAATTTAATATATGACTTATTAATATCGCTTATAGCCTTATGTATATAATTTTATTATAATTTGGCGTATAACTTGCATTATAATGAAGGTAAAATAATGTGTTTAATTTCATTTATATTGCATGCCAAAAGCTTGTTATGAGTTTTTAGTAGTATAATAAATTAGTATTTTATTTTTTTGGTTCATATTTATTGCTTTATCATTGCATAAATTCATTTTGTCGATAAACCGAAATCTTAATTAGAAATGACCTCAAATCACAAAAACTTAGCGAGATTCCAATGTATTGCGTTTTACGTCATTTTGTGGCATCGAAAAAATATCTTTCCAATATAAACATCTTGACGTCACCGTATAATATTTATACTGTTATTTGAAATCATTATGAATATTTGAGATATGTGACCATGCATGTTTTAAAACTATTTTAATTTAATCATAATATTATAATTATTTTCGATAAAAACTGCATTTTTATTTAAATCATTGCAAAAATGAGTTTATGATTTTTATAATACTATTTTAATAATAAAGATGCTTGGTGAAAATAGTTTTTCGAAGCTTTGCTGCAATATTCCAATTAGAAAAGCGGTGAAGGTGCTTTCTAATAGCGTTCAATATTAAACTAAAAAAATATATCTGAGAATAAAGGCAATCAATGGATTGCCTTCTGACAATATCATTTGTAGCTCAATGTAACCAGTGCTTATTTCTGCTTATAGAACAAGTAATAGTTATGATTGATATAAAACAAAAAAAATGGCTTGGTATCTGTATTACATTCAATCTATTTAGATAAATAGATAATTTTTTCTAATAATCAAAATATGACAACATGCATTAAGAGTTGTTGGTCCTTAATATTATGCTAAATCTGAAGATACTTGAGACAGTTTTATTTAAGATATCAAACCAGAATGACAACTCAAGAGGATTATATGTACTTCATAACCAAGTCTATATAAGAAACTTGGCCTAAATAACGGTCTTTATATATTTTTTGCTAATATTGTCAGCAGTATGATCAATGATTAAAAAATAAGTACCTATACACACAGTAAATCTGAAAATAGGTACAAATTAAAATACCTACTTAAGTAGAGCCTTTGTACATAATCATTTATTTTTTCATTGAAAACGTAATAACTATGTTGGGGGTCAACTTATTATGGTGACCCTCAACATAATTATTGATGTCTAGACTCGTCTTGTGATGAAATTTTCTATTTAATTGAAAATATTTTAGAATGATCTAATCCAAACGTATAAAACATTCAATTTAAATAAAAATAATTTTTATTTAAATTTCTTTGGTGCGGTGTCTAAAAGCATTTTGCACAATAAATACTTGAAAATGTACAGACAAAGATTTTGCAATACCTACGAATACAAAAGCTTACTCTATACAATTATATGATCAAAAAATTTCTTTTCGGCAGATTGTAGCAACCTTAATCTTTGCTTATTATTATTAGCATTATCTTCTAGTCATAAAAAATCAATGGTAATTGGTCTATGCCAAAATTATATGACATCATGCATTAAAAATTTCATAATGTGTTAATTTCATTCTTCTGAGAGTTAATATAATTAGTCTGTCGATTAATTAAATATTGCTGGCTCATATCAAAATTACTAATACAGGCACCATGGTAAAAATAGTGGAAAATATTACGTGTTTAATTATTGAGCGCATTAAAATTAATGATTGCATCAATAATATAATTAACTTATAGGCTTGATTTGCTTTTGATATATTTGGTATATGATAATATTCAAGCTAGTGAAAATTCCAGTAAGGTTTTTCCTCTATATTTAGCTTTTTCTTTATGTACTTGAATGAAACATCCTTCGGCAAACCGTATTTTGTATAATTTTTTTTTCAAATAGACTATATTCTATTACTATTACTATATTCAATTTAAAAAGAATTCAATATGATTTAACGTGTTAATGTATTAAATATGTATAAAATGATACAATCATAGTATAGTAATATTATATTACTATAAAAATTATTTATTTTAATTCCCAATTAAATTCAATTACAGGTGACGAATCAAACTATTTGTATGTAGGAGCTTTACAATACCGTTTGATTATTTTACAATTATCTGAGAAATGATTGAGGCAAGCAGATCTCAAGCAAAATGATATTAATACTGTTGTTCCTTGCCAACGAAATCTCTTATAGGTAAGTTACTTTTCTTAATTTTATTCAAGTCAAATTGCTTTTTTCATAACTTATAATTACTATGCATGAAAAACTTGATCTTGGTTGGTAGTTATACCGATTAGTTTTACCTTGCGTGGATTTGAAACTAAATTTCATCTTGATTTTTTTTAACGTTTTCCTGTAATGAAGTTATTTTTTTTACAAAACTCTTAATAATAATACATCAAAGGTTTATGGTGTTCATGTTAAGCAAACTAAAGATCAGACTTACAATTTAGTATCCTATGTATGAGTGTTCTATTCAATTTGAATAAATAGAATTAATACATTAGTATGAAATAAATATCATAATTGAGTGTATAAAGAAGTTTCTGGAATATCTTATATATTCTGCGGTTTGACAAGTGTATATTTATAATCTGCATATATATCATATAGATGAATTACAGTTTATAAACCTTATATGGTTCGGATTAATCTCCTAAACGTTCATTTTCCGTTTTATTGCCGTAGTCCCACATTTAACCAATTATGAGATTTATCTAACTCCATCTCAATCCCAGACCGACACCTATATAAGTGTCGAATATCGTTTAAAAAAATGAGTCACCTCGTAATATTATGCGACATTGGACACATAAAAAAGTTGATTTTATTAGTAAGACGATGTTCGGCAAGGAACGACCTTGGTCCAAGAGAGTGACGGCCTATTACAAATGCAGGGATTCAAATAGTTATGCAATTCTGGTGATTTGATTTGATTTATTTTATTTATGTTTTGACCTAAGGTGTAAGGGCCCGTGATAAAAAATACAGATTTACATAAATTTTCGTTTTTTTATGTCAGTAGGAAAAATGTTCGTTGTAAATCTATCTTCTTAATTTCTTAGTCATTTAATGTAACGAACTAACAAAATTATATCAGCCATATGACTACCAACTCACGATCATCTCAACATACGAGACCGTTAATATAAAACAGCAAATTTTCCAGAAAATTGGCCCATAAATTACAATGTTATATTTTAATTCATCACAGCATGGACTAGTGATTTTTTTACAGATTTATTTACTTAATAGTACCAAGCCTATGAAAAAGTACATTAGAAATTTCTAATGATGGATTTATTATGCTTGTCAATAATAATTACTGTTATTTTATTTAGATCAGTTCTCTTAGACATTTGCGTGCTGTTTTCAAAACAACTTTACCCTTGAAATTTAAGAAGTCTCAGATCTGATTCTAGATAAGTTTTTTGCAAACTTTTACAGAGTAGGTGATATTATACTTGTTAAGTAAATCACATGTGATGTATGGTATTGAGGAAGTTATGCTACATAGATTTATAGAATATTTTATAAAGTTCACGGCAAACACTTAGCATGCCAAAAATGACGAGTGCGAGAAGAGTGTTTAGTCATCTAGGAATATTGTATTAAAATTTGTTAATGATGATAACTAAACATATTATATAATTATGTACAAGTTTTATTGCAATGTCTTGTCTTGCATTTAATAAAATTGGGAGAAATAAATATATTCTTCGCATTAGCATACTATTTGATCAAATTCATTATATCAACTTTTATAAACTTTTTATGGAAAAAGTGTAATACATATAATACTTTTCTTTAATAATACTTTAATTATTTTCTCAGAATTTTTCTTAGCTAATTATGAAGTTTAACAAGTATATAAGCTTATGATATATTTTTTCCTGATCTTTTTATAACTTAGAGTCTTAGAGAACTTTAGAGCCTTAAACCAAATGGCAACATTTGTTCGGAATAAAATTGGATTTTTCGAAAATTAAATACTAACATCAAACTATTGATTTTTTTAACCTTCCGTAGATTAAGTTGTTGTAATCGTCCAGGAATCGAAATTTAAAATTTTTCATTTCTCGACGTTTTGAAGGTTTCTGAACATTTTGGCATACCTCAGAAAAAATGGATGTGTGTGTGTTTTGTGTGTCCGCACGGATCAACCGATTTAAATGGTTTAAAAAACATTCGATTCCTATTGATAGGGAGATGCGCTGACTAGTTTTTGGTGAAGGCAGGTCCAGTCGTTACGGAGATAGAGCAAAGAGTGCAGAAAATAGAAATCGAGTTTTTGAGAAACCAGAGCATCCGATTTGAATGCTCTAAAAACATTCAATTATCAATGATTAGGAGACATGATTATTAGTTTTTTGCAAAGGCAGGCCCAGTCATTTCGAAGATACAGAGCTAAATATAAAAAAATTGCAGTTTTTGCGAAGCATCCGAATTGAATGATTCAGAAATCTTTCTGCTTATGTTGACAAGGCAATTGCTTTTGGAAAAATAATGTCAAGTTTTTTTGTATATTGAAAATAATTCAGATTTCAATTTTAATTCTGGCTAAAGTTTTAAAGCTAACTTATATACTTTAAATAAATAACTTTAACTTTGTAATTCAGTTTATATAATTCTCATAAATAAATATTCGGAAAATGGTACAGTATTTATAATAACCTATTTGAAAACATTTAATATTCCTCGAACATTTCGTTACGGTACGGGTAGTTCCAGCAATTTGCTTTAAGGCACGATGCCATGCGCCCCACTAGTTATGTTTTTTTGATTTAATATGTGTCAAACATGATAATACGTTAGGCTTTTAGAAAAAAATATGATATTTCTTGCAGCAAAGTTAGAAATGTCAAATATACTTCATAGAATTGTTATTACTCATGCTTATAAAAAATCTAAAACAAATTAATATTATGTGATCTTCCTTTTTAAGCTACATAGACTTTCCCAAGCACGCCTTCAAGCTAGCTAAAGTTTATTCAAATCCGCACAAATCTTCATTGCGTTTGCATGACACAATTTAGCGATTGCGATCATGGAGATGTACTTGAAATTTTAATTGAAATGAATATATTACCCAAACGATATTTTTTGTTGATTAGATTTTCATCTGTAATTGATGTCTGTTTAACTTAAATTTTTGTCTAACAATTATTTATGCGTTGACAGCAACTACAATGACGGTTATTAATGATGCGAGTAGGTTTAAAATATTTTTTCATCCGTATGCAATGTCATTTGTTGTTCATGTCGAAGTAGGCATTTTGAAGTGCAATGATTCATACGAGCTCGGTTCGAGGTCTTTTGGGTACACGTCATATTTTCTTGAGAATGAAAAAACACAAAATAATTTTATTCGTGACGCAATTTTATCGGTGACCACAATTAAAATTAAACCCGATTGCGTAAAATGTATGCGTGACTCTGAACCTTATCTTATTTGAGTATAATGAATATTCTTAATTGGAATTAGCCGAAAGATTTCGACATATTAACCAATTATTGTAAATCAGCAGCAATTTAAACAATTATCGTCTAAGGTTTTTCATAGTGAATTTCACAAAATAGAACTTTCCGAAGGAGAAGTTCTCTGCTTTTTAATCATTCTGAATCGGTTGACACCAACATGGGACATTTTGCCTCTATCCATTTCGAAAGTGAATAGGTTTACTCGAGTCGTTTGATACTTCGCACATAAGTGCCAAACTTTTGCCAAATGTTTTCGATAAAAATCCGGAACCCAGTTTGAGAATTAAAAACTCGGTAAAGTCCAGAAATTCTAAAAATATTTTTTAGAAATCTAGATCTATTTTTAAAAAAAAATCTAATATTGTAAAGCCTTTGTGTGTATATTCCTATTTGAGTATAATAAAACTGCTCAACTGGCTTTGGTAAATAGTAAATATTTTATCATTGAGCAGCACATCATGATATATATATAAGCATATATTGATATATATATATATATATATATATATATTGATATATATATATATATATATATATACATATATATACAGGGTGGCTGATATGTAATGCAACAAAGTCAAGCGCTATAACTTTGTCATTTTCATTTTAAATTTCATTGCTCAAAAGCAAAAATGTCGGAAAAACATCAAATTTTAGAATCAGTTTAAGTTTGTTCTAATTGGCCACCTTTGGTACAAATTATGGCCTTCAAACGGCAGAAAAACCATAACACGCTGCACGAAAGTGGCCCTGGTGTATTTTGGCCCATTCCCAGCGAGGCAGCTACTTGGGATGATCGACACTCTGGTATTTTTTAGTGCGAACCTTACTCTTCAAAATGTCCAAGACACAAAAGTCCAGCAAATTTAGATCCAGAGATTTTGGTGGCGATTGTGCGATGGAAATGAAGCAAAAAACCTCTTTTTTAAGCCATTTTTGGTTGACGCGTGCTGAGTTTGATGATGCTGAGTCCTGTTGGAATGTCCATGGCCTGCGTCCGAAATTTTTGTCTACCCAGGACTTCAATACTGCCTTTAAGACATTCTCCCGATAATTTCGGCAATTAGTTTGATCCCACGGTCGATAAATAAAAGCGGAATGTCACCATCGGCCGTTACGGTGGTTCACCCCATTACCGTCGGCGGCGCTTGAATTCAGGTGGCCAATCGAAGATGTTAATTTTTAACTGACCTTTTTGGCAAGTAAACCCTATCATTTTGTTTGTTCATAAACTGCTCGATTTGGAATGACTTCCCATCTGAGAAAACCAAATTCGGTAACTAGCCACTTTCGTGCAAGCGAAGCAACCCCTTGGCTCTATCCCGTCTAACTTTTTTTTGTGCATCGATGAGTTCTTGCACTTTTTGGAACTTCAATGGCTTTAGTCCAAGCTCATTTTTCAATATCTGTTGCATCCGTTTTTGCGATATGTTCAGCTCACGGGCCATTTTTTTACCACTGCGACACGAATTTCGATCGATTTTTGCCTATACTTTTTGGATCATTTCTCGGATTGTTAGTGTTTTTTTTCGTCCACTTTTTGGACGCGGTGCAACACTGAGTGTATCACGGTTACGAGATATGGTACGAGAAACAAAATATTTGTTCGCATTTAAATGCTGGAGGGCTCTAAAGATAGCCACTTAAGGTTTTCCAGCCAAGTATGAAGCAATCGCACTATCACGCTTGACTACCATCACGAATAACTTTTT